TGACTTCACCAACAGCAAATACATTAACAACACAATATTTATATTGTTTTTTTTGGTCAACACTTGTATTAACAAATATTGGAGAAATACCACCACCAGAAACGGACGTAAGCTAAATATAAGATATTTTTAATTATTATAAGTCATCCAATTGATAAATTATTGTTAAATCGAGACTTTCGTGCATTATGTAGATCTAAATGAGTTATGAATGTCCTGAAAAGAGTTTGTATTCTTAGCTTATTACTTCGGAGATACTGCACTTTTACGATATTTTTTAAATGAATATCGTCATCCTTTCAGAAACATCAGGAAAATTAATTTTCGAATTTTGACTTGAAATATTGCATAAAGACAGGACTTAACGAGAGTAGTTTATTGTGAAATTTTGAAATATTTTCGTTGTTACTATTCTAAGATACAGCTGTGATAAAAGCGTACCTTTCACATCGCTCATACACACCGGCAGGTTCGATCTTCTTTTTTCAATCAATTGGAAACTCAAAAATTAGTTTTTCTGGTAGTCCTGAGGGAGACTACGGCATTCATTTAAAAAATACAGTCAAAAATGTAGTATCTTCACAACAGTAAGTTAAGAATACGAACTCTTTTCAGGATATTCATAGCTCATCTCGGGGTCTACTTAATGCACGTAATCTCGACTCAAAAGTAATTTATCAATTGAGAAAACTTTCATCGTTAGATGATGATGTTATGATGTATCATTTTGATTGAAATACTTCGTTTAATTTTTTTTTTTTGTGAATACATTGATTCAAAATGAGAGAAAACTCTGTAATCAAATACGAAGAATTTTTAAAAAGTTCAAACGTGTAAATTTTATGTACATCTAATTATACGAAAGATATCATGATATATTTTGTTGTTTAGGTTTTGAGACCAGATTGATATCTAACGGTGAATTCTGTGAGCACACGAAAAGTATATGAGCATACTGATATATTAAGCAAAAAGCTTAGCTCTCTACATCGATATTTTCACCTCCGACTGATAGATGCTTCAAGTTTTATGAATAGTGTATTAATTACTAAAGTTCACAGGATCCGGAAATTGTGATTTCCATACTCGACTCGGTCTGGAACAAATCTGATAGACTCTATGACTAACGCAGTGCAGTTAATGCACACTGACACCAATGTTCACTGAACCATTGGAACACACTGGTAGAATAAAAGCATATTTTGATAGAGTTGATATCTTAATGTCGCAGGAAATGCGGATATCCGTGAAGTCTGTGCTTTACTGAACACTCAACCAGTGTAATTAGTGTCAATGACTTACTATTTAGTATTTCAGTATTTATAACAACACTACGCATCCCTACTTATAAAAAAGTTCCCATTAATCTTTTATTGTTGTCAATTTAATTAGAATTTATCTAATTTCATCTTTCAACTCTATGTACTATTCCACCTAGATGAAGAAATCTAATAGAATGGTATTTATGCATGTTTACAGATGTTTTTTTTTTCTTCTATAGAACTATTAATAATGATATTTTTTATGAAAATGTTTAGATTGAAGTTCTTTTCGTTACTGCTGATTTTCTAACAGGTGTACTTATTTTTGCTACAAGTAAGTTCCAATTTTTTTTCTTGTTGAAATTTTTGTTTCAATACAAATAATTTTTATAGTTGTTGGAAATGTTGGTTCAATTATTGCTAGTATGAATGCTGTTCGTGCTGATTTTCGACAAAAAGTTGATCAAGTAAAACAATATATGGTATTTCGAAAAGTTGGAAAAGATCTTGAACGACGTGTTATTACTTGGTTTGATTATTTATGGTTACAAAAACAAGTTGCTAATGAAGATATTGTCTTAGGTAATAAAAAAAAAAGAAAGTTTTTTTTTTCTGTTTTAATTTAATACTTTCTATTGATTTTATTTAAAAGGTTCATTACCACAAAAATTACGTGTTGAAATTGCTATACATGTACATTTAGCAGCATTAAAACGAGTACCTATTTTTGCTGAAGCACAACCAGGTTTACTTGTTGAACTTGTTACAAGATTAAAATTACAAATTTTCAGTCCCGGAGATTATGTTTGTAAAAAAGGTGATTATTATAGTTTTTACAGAATAAGTTATTCATAACTATGTAATAGAAAAATTGAAATATTTCTACTAGTTTGATTCAATCAAATAAACTAATAATCATTATTGACGTCACTCAAGATATATATAACTTATTGTTAAATACGTGTGGACGGTTCCATTGATAGTTTTAAGTTTTTACCTACGATAATAATAAAAAAAATCAAAATGAATTTTATGAATAATATGCTATTGATATACATAGAGCAAATTTTTTTGAATTGTGCTGCTTGAACATTTGAATTCGTATTTAATAATCTAAAATTTATAACTAATTCTTTCAAGCATCGATTGTGTTATTATCTATACTTTGGTTCCACATGTACGATATTTGTTTCAGTATGGAGACCTACCGGGTGACGCCCCTCCGAAGATCGAGTTGGTCCTCTTGGAGTTTATGATTCTTCTTCTATTTACTAAATATCTATGCTCTCAAAAATAGCTGTTTGCACTCCTGGAATTTTAGAGCGACTTTTCGAAATACAAAATCTGAATAAAACATTCTAAATGTATCCACATCTTATAGGACAATAGGTTATAGTTTTTTCTATTAAAGTCAATAATAATTTTTCAAAACGAAGGCGACTATAAGTTTTTCGATAATTTTTCACTAAAGGAAGACTTCTTCTATTTAATAGTATATACATTGTCAAGTTCTACCGCGTACCATTGGCATGTCAATAGGTAACACTACCTGCGCCGCAATTATGGTAGAAAGCGACGAAAGTGGTGCTACTTATTGCCATGTCAACTGTATGCAGTAGAACCTAATAATACATACACTATTAGATAGAAGAAGTCTTTCTCTATACACCTACATTACGCTTCCATCAATCTTTGTAATTGAATGAAATTGAAGATTATTCGAATTTTATTTAGGTGATATTGGTAAAGAAATGTATATAATAAAACGTGGTCGATTAAGTGTTGTATCAGATGATGGAACAAAAGTATTTGTTACACTTGAAGAAGGAAGTGTTTTTGGTGAAATTTCTATTCTTAATATACCTGGTTAGATCTTTTTCTTTTATGAAAAATCATTCTAAATAATGTTTTCATTTTTTTGTTTTTGTTTAAGGAAGTAAAACTGGTAATCGTCGTACAGCAAATATTCGAAGTGTTGGTTATTCAGATTTATTTTGTTTAACTAAACAAGATTTATGGGAAGTATTAGCTGAATATCCATCAGCACGTGATACATTAATTGAACGTGGAAAAGCACATTTACGTAAAGATAATTTATTAGATGAAGAAGCAGCACAATTAGCACAACAAGATGAAGCTGCTATACCTGAAAAAGTATCAAAATTAGAAGGAAATATTGATAATTTAGAAACACGTTTAGCACGTCTTATGGGTGAATATACAGCAAATATGGCATCACTTGGTCAACGTTTACAAACAGTTGAAAAAATAGCTGATCAAAGACGAGCAACAATAGCAGATAATAAATCTAGCCGAAAAAATACACTTGATGTTATCGATATTGGAACTAATGAAGATGATGTTTAATTAGTTTTTATGCATCTATGTTTAAGTGTTTTTTTTTCTTCCTTTTTATTCTTTGTATTATATTCCAGAAGTAATATGAATATTATTATAGGACAGTTAGTTGAAATTGAAGTATAAATAATATTCATAATTTAATGAAAAATCAATTAAATACTATATTTTATTTATAATTTTTATCCTACGAAACTGTTCTAAAATAACATCTACACTAACATATAATTTGTAGGCTTTTTTTCAGGCTATGTTGTATATTCATTTGCTTCAACAGCTTTCGGAACTTTGTTCGTTGAAGTTTTACTAAAAATTCTAATGTTTATCCTAGTAATAAGTAACACAGGCTAAATAGGACATTATCGTTTTCTTGTTTGAACTATTCCGATGCACTTTCAAAGAGTCATTCAACAGAGAATTCTTCACATCTATAACAGTGTTCTGTTTTCTTTTCAAAAGAAAATTTTCTTGTTGAAATAAAATTTAAAATGTAAACATCTACTCAATCGTCTAAATGCGATTTTCAATGTTCTGTAGATATCTATCAATTTGTGTAAGTCTTTACTCATCAAGACTAATCAAAACTTTAAATATCGCTTCAACAAAAGAAACCTATTTGAAAAAAAATTGCAACAATTTCGTAGAGAAAAAAATATAAGAAAATGATATTGTACGGTTTAATCTGTACTACCCATTATCTAATGTGACAACTAATTTATCGGGTAATATTTTTTTTCTGGTACAATTAAAATATATTATATAACATGAAATGTGATGTTAAAGTATTTGAATACATACATTCGCTGTCAAAAATTAACTTACAATAGTTTCTCATCCAATCAGCATTTTTCTACACCTAAGTAGAGGAAGAGCACTCCTGTTTTTCAACTACCTTTCGTTATGGAGTATACTGTCTAGCGGCAGATTCAATAGTTCAATATCTTCTCTGCAATTCACACTAGCTCTAGCTTTGGACAAAAGTCAGCCTGACGTAGAGTGCTTGCGCTCAATTGATTGAGCCCTCCATACGCACCAACTAACTACATACTAGCCACAAGAGCAAGTATATGTCACAAGCAGGGGCGTAGCCAGGATTTTCAGACCAATGGGCAAACTTCTCATATGTAAAAAAAAAACTATGGGCAAAATGGGCAAAGTTTTTTTGAATGGGCCAAAGATTTTTTGGTCCAAAAATGTATTGATAAGTAAAAAATCAAAAAATGAATTGTAGTTCTTTTAATAACATAAAAAATGGAATATGGTTCTTTTAATATCACAAAAAAATGAAATATGGTTCTTTTAATATCACAAAAAAATGAAATATGGTTCATTTAATCAAATATACATCGAACTCAAGTCTTTAACATTTATACTTCAAATTCAAGTACCAAAATCAAGACGACGATGATGCATTTGTGTATATAATGTCAATATTTCACTTGAATTTATATCCAAATCTTTATGAATGTATGCAGCAGCAAATCCGTTGAGTCTATTTTGTTTCGTTGTAGAACGACAATAATTTTTAATTCTCGACAATTGGCTGAAACTTCTTTCAGCAGAAGCTGTTGATACAGGTAATGCTGCCAAAAAAATTAATAAATAACGGACATTTGGAAATAATACATCGTCTGTCTCTTTGATTAATTCATTTAACCATTTGTTTTTCCAGTTATCATTCATTTGTTATGGTAACTGTAGCACTTGTAGTTGCAGGTGTAGTTGAATCTTGTGTTAAATTTTCTGTGCCAGTACGTATTTTTTTGGAAGAAAAGTTGTAGTTAAATAAAGTACTGGGTCGCTTTTCATTCGACATAGCTTAGTGTTTATATTTTTTTAAAGCAGAACAACAGAATGATAAGTGCACAATTGTATATATATATATGTTCTTTTTTTTCTATCATCTTTTCTTATAATACTCAGACGGAAGAAGATGAACTATAACCTATCTCGTCCAGTTTATCATCTTGTTTCTTCGTCCGTATCAGTATTATAAGAAAAGATGAAAGAAAAAAAAGAAAAGAAGAGGTGTATATATATATACAATTGTACACTTGTCATGTTTGTTGTTCTGTTCTGTTTTGTTCTGTTTAATTTTTCACAGAAAGGACAAGCAAAGAGTGCATGTATGATTCAGACGGAAGAAAAGAAATACAGTTACTATCTAATTCAAAGAAAAAAAGCAATGCTGAAAATCTAAAATTTCAATGGGCAAAAATTTACTAAGAAAAATTACAATGGGCAAACCTCCAAATGAAATGGGCAATTGCCCATTTGCCCCTCCCTTGGCTACACCCCTGGTCACAAGGTAGTCATCACGCTATTTGATGGGTGATCCGAGACAAACAGCCGTTAGTGACTTGCCCATAGTCATATCGTGCCTCATGGTACCAAGGTTTAAACATAATACCTTATGGATACGTGTTGAACCACATAGTCATTCAGTCATGGCAATGCTATACACCAGTAACATAGTCGAATATATTTTATTAACATTTTTTCCGATTACTATTGAATCGATCGATATTTTCGATAACACTAAGGCTTGAAGTGATGAAATTTTAAGATTCATCTCTTCTAAGCTTAAGAGATAAGAATATTATTAGCTCCAGTTAAATTCAGAAGAAATAGCTAAAGTAATACAATTCAGAATTGAACAACATCTTGAGAAAGTATGAAAACATTCTAGATTAGTGTGTAGATAATAATACAGTTACTTAAACATACTTATGTAATTATTATCAAATTTTTATACAAGATTGATATCAACTTTTGCAGATTGGAATTATTCAATCGGATTATAGTTGTTTTTATATCGAATCAATCTCTAATTGCTTTTCACTCTCGTATTCTTATCAAATATCCAACTTAATCAAGATATATATATATATATATACATCAGCGCACATTTCTTTTCATAAAAAAGTATATTCTTCATCAAAGAATTTAAAATTTGTCTTTCTTTATGATGTTTGTAATTCTAGTATTTATTCTTTGGTAACTAAAGCTTTTATTTGATATTGACATACCAGAAAGAGTAAATCTATACGTTATAAGAATTGATTGATCATCATCATGATATCAAATATATTAGTTGTAATTAATGGATACAACATTGATGTGCAGTGTTTCATATGTCATCAATTATCTTTTGTTTGAACTTCTTCCATGTGTGAATAGATCAAGCTGTCCTCTAACCAACTGTTTTATTTTTCGCATGAATAAAACAATTTCTAAAATTCTTTTCTTTTTCTTTCTTTCCACCTTTTTACACATTCAAGTGACTAGAATTCAGCAATCATCTGTTTTAAAAATAATTCTTAATCCGATGATATAGTTTTCAATTAGTTCCATAACTCATCAAAAACAAAACAACATACCGCTCTATAACATTCACTTCAAAAATTTGATTCATATGTGTATATAGCATTGACACAGCATGTGATCTTAATCCTTAAGCCGACTATACTGTCTTTCATATAAAGATAGCAATCATATTGTTTGTTTTAAATATTTCGGTAAAATGTACATCAAAACAAAATGAAAGAAACGAATGTTATTCTTTTTATTTTCCTTCTTCATTTACAAGGTTTACATGATTTACTGTCCGTTATTTACAAAAAAAATATATTCTAATTAGCGTTATTTTTGTGTGAGAATTTTTTTTTTTTTTTTGATTATTTGGAAGAAGATAAATCAGTAGTCATTACGATAATCAATGGATTGTCAGAAAACCAAAAAAACCATTCCAATAAATATATGAACAAATAACAAAGAGAGATTGATGTTGAAAAAAATCTCACGAGAAAACATTTTCAACTGATCAATCGTTATGTCACCAAAAGCTACTGAATTGATACCAATTTCGAATATGACTAAGTGCTATCTTCTTAGATCGTTATATACAGATTTCCTAGAAAAACCGATTTTCTGGACTAAAAAATATTTTGTCAAAATCATTTTTGGTCCTCTCAGATTATAGAGTATATCGAGTCATCTATAAGTTAACAATTTTTTTTTTGCTTTTCAAAAATGAATTTTCAATGAAATAATATCATCTTGAAGATTTTTACATTGAAATATTGATCTATATCTGTTTTGTGAATTAAAATGACAATCGAGATAGATCAAAAACTTCCTTTACCGAACAGTTTCTTAGAGTCTAGAAAAAACTGGTTTTCCAAAAAAACAATATATAAAGACCTAAGAGAACTTCTCATAGCCATATTCGGAATCAACATGATCGATAATCTATAACTCAATAGCATTCATTAAAAAAGTAACTAACCATTTGAAAACATTCTCTCATCAGTCGAGTCCGTCAAGTTGGTCTGAGTCCGAAAATTCTGGACCCAACGGGCTTTACTCGTTAATTCAATAGCTTTCATTGAAGAATTCTGGAATATCATCCATACGACCTTCAGCCTTATGTTGCTACAATCTTAGTAAATATTCATCTGTTATGATTTTATTTTTCCGATGGTTTGAAACTCTCGTATTATCATATATTCTGACAATCAATGCTAAAGATTATTCTTTTTTTTGTAATAAATCAATCGTACTGAAAATGTTTGGATGTGAAAAATTTTGTGTTCTAACAATACATTGATTATCATAATGACTATTCATTTCTCTTCTTCCAAACAATCGACAAACAGTAAATCCATTGCATATGGATAACATGATAAAATAGAAAATTTTTATTAAATGAAAAGAAATAAAACTTTCACTTTTTTTCATCAAACAATTTATAATTGGTATGATATTCAATCTATTTGAAATATTTTCACACATTTAATTGAAATTGACTTTTATTCTATAGAGAATGAATGGCATTTGTTCATTTTTTTTTTTGTATTATTTACACATCGATATATATATATATAATTGGATGGACTTGTCAATTATTCACACATACGTTATATATCAAGAAAGTCGAAAGTCAAAAACTATCTATCTATCTATATATGTATACATTGACCGTTATCGTTCTGTCTTTTTTCAAGTCTTCTGTTTCATTGATTAGAATATAGAAAGAATGAAAAAAACAATATGCCATTCGTTTATTTCAAACTATATTATATACACATGAAGTAGTAAGAAGAAGGTCATTGAAGGACTGACCGTTTATCCTTCTCTTCTTTCGGAAGGAGAAAGAGATTCGTTCGCCTTCATATACATACACTCTCTCTTTTTAATATCTATTGTTTACACGGACGAGTGTGGATAAACGGACGATAGAAAGAAAAATAGACACACACACATAAACATTCATTTCGAATCTTTTCACATAGATATTTTTTTTTTCTTATCGTCATCAAGAAAAAAAATGGACAACGTTGTATTAACATCTGCATCACAAATAAGTCCAAAATCAGGTAGTCCACTTAATTCTCAACCTATTCCATCTGTAACTGTTGAATCAATAACAACATCAACAATTGAATCACTTGTTGAAATTCCATTAGAATCAGTTGAACAAACAAATATTGATGGAAATTTTCAAGCTCGATTAGATGTTAATTATCAAGCACATGATGTAGCTTTAGCAACAGCTAAAACAAATGGACATGAACAAATAAATGGTTTAAAATTTGAACAACATCATAAAATGGATATTGATGACGGTTATGAACATCCAGATAAAATGAAATCATGTTGTATAATGCTTAACAAATTATTTCTTGCTTTAGCTATAGTTTGTTTTGCATTATTTCTTTGTGCTATTGCATTTATTGTTACCAATCGTGGAGTAGTAAGTCTATTGAAAACATTCTTATTTGTTTGAGATTGAAGAAAAGAAAAAAAAACATATTCAATATGTATAGAAGGGATTCATATGAGTGAAGCAATTATTTATGTGTATTTTGTCAATACAAATGCCATTTCAAGGACAAACATATATTGTAATTAAAGAATATGTGAGAACTATACAATCGTCATCTATTATCTTTTCTCTATTGTTTGTTTAAATATAATAATAATACCAGATATATATATATATTTTGATTAAAAAAACATGAGTATCTTATCAATAAGATGTATCTATTTCAAGGTTGATAGACGATTAATGAGTGATTAGTTGAAGAGATTACATATATAATGACAAGATGTTCAGTGAATAAATTAAGATTATTTTGTGATTGTTGTAAAGCTAATAGAAACGTATTTTATTAATTAAAAATACTTGAGAAAAATTTCTATTATAAAAAAAAAAAAAAAGAATCCTCTTGAGGTCAGTTACCATTTGAAATTAGAAATATATTTAATTTATTTAGTATAACATCTGGTCTAAAGCGTTTTTCTTCTATCCTTGGAGAATTACATTGAACCATATGTTCTAAAGATTCTTATAAGTAAAAAAAGAGGATAAGGTTCCGTTGTTTGATTTAATAATTTATTGTGAGTATATTCGATGTATCGAAAAATGCGTTTGAAAATATGAATAATCTAAATAACAATTTCACTAAGTTTCTCGATAGGTCTTACTTAAAAGTAATCAAATTTACTTTCAAACTTCTAAAAGATTTCCTACCTATATAGGCCTCTCGGACCAAATTATGATCATTTTCGATCCAGCTCTAGGTATTTATCGAAAAATCACATAATGAAATTTTTGTCCATACGCAAGTCTGATGACTCTTAGGAATATTCTGAAAGTTTCAACCGAAAGGAATGTTCCTTTGTCGAGATACTAAGTTTCCAAAAAAAAAAAATATTCATTTGCTATAAAAATCAAGTTTACTTGGAAATTCAATACTTTGACAACAGAACATTCTTTTCGACTGAAACTTTTAGAATATTTCTAGAGTCATCAGACCTATTATCTATCGACAAAATTTCAGGTCAAAGTTCTGTTATTTGATTTTTCGGTAAATATTGAACGCTGAATTGAAAACTCAGTAAAACAGTCATCGCTCGTCTCAAGAGACTCATGGGTACAAACTCTTTTAGAATTTTTGTAGTTTTACCGAGACTTCCTTGTAAACCCAGTATGAATTCAAACGACGAGTATCAGCTGGACACATAAAAATTACCTCTAAGATAAAAATTTAAAACTTTCAGAGCACATAAATCTCGAAGAGTTGAACAAAAGTTGCGGTAGATTCAAACTTCTTCAATGCTGCGTTCTATGAGATATTGGGTTTCCAATTGGTCAAAATAGCTCCTATTTTCGCCCTGTTTTCTCTGAGATATTGCTTTCGATCGAGTTCAAAATGTTTTTTACGCGCACTGAACGCTATTTGCGGTAGCTATTTTTTTTGTTCTGGTTTCCTTATACTGTTTATTCTTTCAATAAAAAAGCCAAAATTTCTGAAAGTTGTCATAAATCGCCAGAGTAACAATTTTTGAAACAAAAATACCCAAGCGAAATAGTGACTAGTATATGCTGAAAAAAATTTTTGCTCGATGCTTCTTAGTGTGTCGGACACACAGTACTCTTCTTGTAGATTTCCGACTATTGCGTATTCGATAAAATAGTTTGCTACATTCAAAGAGTCTCTTTTTCTTTATGCCTGAGAGATGGTCATAATTAGACAAGCATGAATAATCTGCTTCTTGTTGACTTTACCTTTACTTTTTTTTTACTAACGGAAGAAATGAAAGAATTAAAAACTAAGAATGAACTATTCTGAAGATACTCACTCCTCAACTAACGATTAAGAATAGACTTGAATATAAAAATAATCTATACTACTAAAAATAAATCCAAAGTCGAACTGTCTTATGCGACTCTACCGTAGTCATATACTAAAAATACGATAGGTACGAGTAGTTTTATTTGTTAAAAATAAAATAAAAATAAAAATGTACGACAGATTTTTATATAATTATTAGAAAAATTGGGGACACTGGTTTTTTCCATGTCGTCCTCGATTCCGGACTGTTCCCGCAGGACTCTACATAATATTATATCATACTTATTCTAGAAGCAAAAGAATCTAATAATAGTTTTCATATTTTCCACTAAACAATGCCTATTATGTTTTTTTTTCAGGCATATAGTAATCCTAATGTAAACAATGTATTTGGAATATCTGATACATATGATACACAAGAATCTTTAACATCATCTGATCAATTAATAAATGATACATATTTTAATTTAACACATCGATATACAGGTGGTATAATTGTTGTGTTATCACGTCGTGGTGCATCAATTAATGATATATTAATTCCATATACGGATAGTAATGGTATAAAACAATATCGTTCAATTATTGTTAAAGGTACACGTTATGGTTCAATTCGTTTTGATTTTGATAAAGAAAATGATTCAATAAATTTGAATAATCAATTACCATTAAATTATCCATTTTTAAATTATTATAATGATGATTGGTTAATGTATGGTGATAAAAATAACCCATATCATATTCGTTTTGTAAATGATTTAATTGAAATTATTTATGAATTTTCATCATCAAATATGAATGAATTCATGATGACAACAATTGTATCACCAAAATTACATGAACAAATTGTTGCTGATCCAACAAATAATATTTATTTTAATTTACGTGGTTATGGAAATTTAAGTACAGTAAGAAAGAAAATCTTTGAGAAAAAGAAAATACATATATATATATACATAATTTGATTTAGCATTATTTAAATCTTAGTTCATCAACTCCTATTCATATAGAAACTACTGAACAAATGCAAAAAAATCAATTAATTGAAGGACAATATGTTGATCAATTAACAGATGTTCATAATTATTTTTATAAACTTGATCGAGTTGGAATTGGAAAAAATTTTATTGCAACGTATGTTTTAAGAAAATATTAATTTATTAAAATTATATTTTTTTTCTTTTTTTGATTTTACTTTTTTTAAAGATTGATGGAGAATGAAACTAAAACAAAACTAAATATTTTTGCTGATCATAGTGGTATTACTATAGATCCATTTATTGTTGGATCATCCGATCGTAATATAACAATACCTGATATGTACGGTATTCGTATTAGTCCAAGACAATCACCTGTTTTTCAAACAATGGTAAAATATATTTTATTATTTTGAAATTTGTTGATTTATTTTGTTTTTTCAGTCGATTTATGGTCCGACTATAGTTGTTTATCCATCTCAAGCTATACATACAACATGGTGGCAATTCGAATATTAAATATAAAAAAAAAGAAAAATTTTCTATTGTTTCAAACAACAAGTAACAATGAATGATTGTTTATTAATATTTCTGTTTAATTAATGTTCAATATTTCAACTTGTACGGAACATAAGTTTTCTTTTTGTATATGTATGTTTGGTGTGTTGTTGTCTTATTCAATTAGTTTCTTCGTTCATAATGATTCTTGTTACTTTTATTATTACTGAATGAATAAATAAATGTTTATGTGCTTGTTATGAAATAGTTTATTCTATTTACTATTTTCCCTTTTAAGTTACGTAGTGGGGTAAATACTTTGACAACAACGTATTCTTAATTTTTTCTGTAGTTTTAATCATCTAGGCTCAAATCTAGGTAGTAATTTTAATAACCAATGAAGTATTCTATCGAATGTAATCTATACTGAAACTTTATAGATGAACTATAATGGTAAAGTTTCTAAAAAATTGAATACTGTAGTTGCTAGATCTCAGAAGCTAGTTTTTAAAAATGTCATTTTAAACAGCACAAAATTATGAACTGAATGAGGGGACCGTCACGTTTTCAACGATCTTCTCAAGTTAAAAATGTCATAAAACTCGTGAAAAAAAAATGAAATTTATCTAAAAATCGGATATTTGCAAAAGAAACGAACGTCGCCAAATCTGCAACTGATGCCAGCAGTACACCGAGTTCGTCAAACTTATTCTACGAACATCTGGAACGATTTAACATAACAGTTATTTCCAACGTACACTGTTATTATTAACATTAAAATTGAGAAAATCCATGCCTTTTATTTTTCTAAGACTAGCATACAATCTTTCAATATTTTGGTTATATGTGTAAGGTGAGTCGACTTACTCACTGCTAAAAAATAGAGGTGTTCGTGGATATTTGTCGAATCAGTTCCCGATTTGAGAATGTTTGCGTCTTATACAGATATCTGACTTTTAGTAAGTTTTTGATATGTAGGACTTGTACGAAATGTATTAATCGATATAAATAAAATTCCGTATGAGATGTGACTATTCTTATTTATACTATTATGTGATATTGTTAAAGTAATCACAACACTCAATTTGATAACATTTATAATCAAGAAATATTCCAAATTATTATATAAATTTTTAACAAGACTTTTAAAACCAACTATTAATTTTATCAATGTGTACGAGTATCTTTATAATGTGAAAGGTATTATAAAAAGGTATAATTGTCTTTGTTTTTTCAATATTTGGTTCACTTGGATATTTAACATATAATGCTTATAAAAACTATACCTCTGTAAACTTGATCTTTTTTTCTTATTATATATAATTAAGATTTGTGATTTGATTTGATTCATAAAATAAAAATTTAATTAATTATGATGTAGTATAGATGTTTGTATAACTGACTTTTGATTGATTTTTATTGAAAACAAAACGAGAAGCAAGATGCTGCAGCATCATGAGGAAGTCGGAGAGAATAAGCCAAATACTAGAAAAAAATGAGCTAGCTGCTGCTCAAAATTCTGTTTGATCATTATTAGTCGTATAATGCTGAACGAATATATTGGTCAATCCTTCATCATTTCTCTGTTTCAGATCATTATTTGACAACGAGAGAAAAGAAGAGGAGACAATATGGGGTATAGCAGACGGTGAATCAACATAATCCGGATACATAAGATTGTTTTCTTCATAGCGAGTAGGTGTGCATGTGTTAGGAGCAGAGCACCACCTATACCCACACCCACATCCAAAACGCTGTGGTCAGAGCTTTTAATATATCCTAAGTAGTTGTCTAATAATTGTTCGATTTCTACAAAGTTTGATCATTTCGGACAACGAATACTGCAGGAATCAACAGGAAAGATGTAGGAAAGGTCACACATATCCTGAAAGAAAACATGAAAATGGCTGAAACATGGAAGCAGTATTCGGGGCAAAAAATTTTTCGGATTTTTTGTCGATAATTTACTATTAATTTCTGCCGACAAGCACAGGAAATGGGTCAGAATTCACTGGAAAAAATCCGAAAATTTCCGGTCAGAATACTGCTGCCACATCCTGTCGGAATCAGCCCGTACCTCCTGACCTAAATATTGAACAAAATAGACTCAATCAATAGATATTTTTCTTTATGCTGAAACAGATTATATTCATTTTATTAAAATATCTTATTCACTCTAACAGACGAGACGCGATGAGATCAATATCAATTCAAAATATTTAACAGATATTTGCCAATGATTTATATTAAAGTTTAACTTCTATTTATTCAATATTCGAATATTACCATAAAATCAACATTTTTCTATAAAATTCAACGCTAAATTAATTTTCTTTGTCTTGTTTTTGATTACCTGATTTATTTATTTATTTATTTTTAAATAAATAAATAGTTTTAACATATTTAATAATTAATATGTTCTAAAAAATGATATTATTTCGAGTATATTTTCAATAAAAAATGAGAAAAAAAATCGTTTAAGTAAATGAAAATAGTATAAGAAAATAATAAAATCGATTCTACCAAAGATATTTTATATAAAGAAATTTCAAATAGAAGTAATTTCGAAATTATTTTTCAAAATAAATTATCAAATTTTTCGTTATTCGAAAGAAAACAAATCGAATCGATTGTTCAATTGAAAGAATTTATGTTTCAAGATTCTCAAAACAAAATATTCGAAACTATTTCTAAATAAAAGCTTTTCTATTAATTGACTAAACAAAATATTCTTTAATAAAAACCTATTAGATAATATATTTAATGGTATGTCACTTTATTAATTGAAAATCTCATAAATATATTTGAAACAATATTCTTCAAGAGTTTACAAAATTCATTTGAATTAGTTCAAATTTTTTTTTCTTAAAAGAATTTTTGTTGAATGAAACATGATCTATGATGAAAATAATCTTAATAGATTTTAATATGAATTCATAAAAAACTTCACCCGCTTCAATATAAGACAAGATAAAAGATAACAGATAAGAAAAACATGACACGTAGGTAAACACGTATTCTTCATCGAACAAATTTTTAATCATATATTTTAGTTAAATATTTATCTGGTTTTTTTAATCAGTTTTATTTTTATATTTAACAATCAATTTACAATCTTCAAATATTTTTTTTTTTCAGATTAAATCTTAAATGATACGAATTACGATGTCTATTCAACAGATTTCGTAAGATATTTTCGTTTGTTTTTTATATTCAATAAAACAAATCATTATTAATTTTATTGAATTTCTTTATAAAAATAAATAAAATATTCGTTTTCTCTTTTAGATTTAGTTTTCGAATTTTTATTATTGATTTTTCGATTTATGTTCAAGACAAATATTGGTAAGAAAAAAAATAGATGAATATTTAAATGATTAGATATTTCGATATTTAACAATAAGAAATTTTCTCATATCTATTGTTGAATGAAGATCTTTTTGATGTAAACAAATATTTATAGACATATATTCCAATTTGTTCAGATTTTATTGAGAAAAATTCTTTTTAAAATACGAAATAATTCATGTGAGAAACTAAACATATGAAAATGTTTGTGTGTTAGTCAGAAATTCGAAATTGACATGTTTATTCGAATAAAAAGAGAGATTATTTCTGTAGTTAACTCTTCACAACTAAAATCGAATAAATCATTTTATGTTCTCTTTAGGACTCAATTAGCTTTGGAGAAGTTTTCGACAAGTTCTATCGAATGTTTTCAATGTTATCTTTTAGTCATATTAACATAAAATGATCAATATGAATATTTATTTAAGTTAGATTATGTATAAAAGTCGCTTTGTCTAGGTTTTATAAGAAATTTTTGATAGTCTAATCTCGAATATCAATAAAAAAAATTAAGAAGAACATAAGAATAATTCTATAGAATAAATATCGATTAAATGAGAAAATGATTTGTTAAATATTGAAATTCTTCATAATAAACAGTTTGATAAATATTCAAGTTTTTATCTAGATTTCTAAAAATATTCGATGCGATTGCTCGATTATGATTCATATTTAACTTGATTTCAATGAAAATTCAAGATTCAATTGAATAATCAATCTGACTATTCAATTCTAGAATAACATATTTAATTTACATTTAAGTTTTTCTTTGTAAATTTATTTCTATCCGAATTTTCGATTAATAAATATGTTCCAATAATATTTTCTTAAATGATCATAATCAAATTCGAATCTGTACTAATTGTCTAATTCGACAATGTTTTTCTTATTTATTATTTCCTAATAAAACAATTAAAAATAATCTTTCTTAGATAATTAATTATAGGTCGACACACAAGATTTATTCTTATATGATTAAGATTATTAGTATAAATAAATGAGAAATCTTGTTTAGTTCTTTAAACAAATCAAATGAAAAATGAAAAAAAATTTTCTATTCGATAAAAATTCATTAAATAAAGCCCATATCGGTTTATGTGCAGTTAGATAATTATCAATGAAAACGATTTTTCTCGATCATCGAAATCACATTCTTTTTTCGAATAAGTCAAAGTAGAAATAGTTTCTTTTTCTTAAATTAATGATAAATGTCAGTTTTATTTCGAATAAGAAATTTATCTTTAGTTCATATTCATATGACAAATTTTTTTTTATAGATATACACTTAATAAATTGAAATCGAACAAATTTATGCATAAAATATGTTCATTCTCAAATGTTGTTTTATTTTGTTTTCATTAATTGAAATAAATAATAAAAAAATGACGAAAGTATGATAAATTTTTCAATGGAAATAATTATTTGAAATGAATCAAACGATTTTATATGCAAATACTTTTTATCTTTGCATTGATAAAAAAATTACATCAAGATTTTCAATAGAAATATTTCAACTAATTTAGAATATTTATCGAAAACAATATTTTATTTATGAAATAAGAAATACTTCAAATATCTTAATTAACAAATATGTTAAATTGATGCACCAATTGATACGAGAAACGGAAAAAAGAAAAATTTGTTTTATCTTGATTATAAACAAATATAATATC